GTGTGTTTGTGTGTGTGTGTGTGTGTGTGTGAGAGAGAGAGAGAGAGAGAGAGAGAGAGAGAGAGAGAGAGAGAGAGGATTGAGATAGAATATTCGTAGCCATAACAAACAATGAGCCAATATCAAAAGAAGCCAAACCATCCCACAATTTTGCACCCGCCAAACCTATATACTATATGGTATACAAATACTATTTAATTTAATTTAATTTAATATAATTAAATTTAATGTAAACTGCCAAAAAAACAAATTCATAATCTTGGTTCTTCGGATGCCACATCTCAAAGCTTTTACAGACCATACTGCTCTGTAATATTTCCTAATTTGCGTCTTCTTTCAAACAGAAATACCACTCCTTTTTTTTTTCAAAGAAAATATTATTTATAGCTGAAGAAGTGGAAACCAATTTTTAATTTTGATTGCCAATCATTCGATTTTTGGTTGAATTTTGTTTGTCTGCTGAAGAATCTGTAAGAAACAATCTGTTGATAAGGTGGGTTTTTGTTGATGAGTTGCTATTTACTTGTTAAAAATCTATTCTTTTCTTATTGATTCTGGTTCTTGAAATCGGCCCTTTGTGATTTCAGCTCAAAACAAAGGTGCCCATCACTTGATTTGCCCAAAGGTTGCTTCTTTTTCCTTCAATTTTGATTTTTTTTCTGTAATTGGTTTGAATTTACTTTGAATTTCTGTTTTCTTATGCAATTTCTTTAAGAAGTAAAAAAAAAAAGTTATTTTGGGCAAAAAATCTCTTATGAAGAATTGTTGAAGGTGATTATATGTTGGATGCTAGTGTTTTTTGTATATGATGTGGCTGAAGTTGTTAATTTGTTTGTTTTTTCTTTTTTTAAATTTATTGATTATTTGGGGTTTTCTTTAATCTTTGATATGATGTAGAATAATTGAACTTAGGGAAGTATTCGTTTGTGTAGAATTGATATGGGAGTATGGATTGCAGGAATATTGGGGAATCGACTAGGAAGCTCGAAGATTCTGGAAGATAGGCGCACGGAATGGTGATCAGTATCATTTTATTTCGAAAAAAACTGCAGTTACTGGAGATTTCGATTAGTGACCGCAGACAGAAAATCGTAAACTTAGAAGATGTCCCAATTCGGACACGTTTCTGCGGTCAACTTGAACAGGCAATATAACATACTCAATGTCACTTTTGGTCAAATGAATGGCCTATCATTTGCAGTCGGTGAAGCCATGGGCCATAAGTTAAGGTTTCCATCTGCAAATGCTGTTACAACGAAATGTAGAAGGAACACATCTCCTTTGAAAGTATGTCCTTTTTTTTCCCTCTAGAAGGTTCCATACCAGTGTTTAAAAGTTTTGTTCAGATGTTCAAAATGATCGAAGAAAAATGGGTTAATGTAGTTTTTGTTGAGTAGGTTGTTTGCATTGATTATCCGAGGCCTGAGCTTGACAACACGGTTAACTATTTGGAAGCTGCTTTGTTATCCTCGTCATTTCGTAATACTCCCCGTCCAAACAAGCCCTTGGAAGTGGTAATTGCTGGTGCAGGTGAGACGAAAGTTTTGCCTTTAAAATTGTTATTCTTTAAAATGGTAATTGTACATTTAGTTCTTGTTTGGTTGGAAAGATTAAACATGATTAATCAAATGATTGGATCGGCCCGCAATTGCGATAAAAATGGCTCCATCTTGGCTAATCGGGAGATTTTGAGGATTCTTTTTTGATGCCATAGTCGAAATATCCTAGTTCTTGTCCCTCCCTAATTAGCAATTAGGGACACATTGTTGAAAGAAAATGAAAACCGGCTGTGACATTCATAATGCGGCGGCAGAGATGAATGAGTAAAAAATAGTAAAATACACGGAATTTTTATTGCAACATTTTTATCCGATATAGCTTTTTTTTTTTTTTTTTCTTTTTTCAGTTTAATGAAACTACTCGATTTTCTTACAGGTTTGGCAGGTTTAACAACTGCAAAGTATTTAGCAGATGCAGGTCATAAACCAATATTATTGGAAGCAAGAGATGTACTTGGTGGAAAGGTTAGAAATCGACGTTGCCATATTTTTCTTCTACTTAAATTTTTTTTTTCTGATGATTTGTCGATCTTTACATAGATAGCTGCATGGAAAGACGAGGATGGAGACTTTTACGAGACTGGCTTACACATATTCTGTAAGTTTCGCTTTCAAAATTCAATACGGCTTATTTAGCTCCTATAAGTTTTCGCTATTATGCACTTCGTGACGTATCTATTTTCTTCTTGATTTGCTGTTAAGTTGGGGCTTACCCAAATATGCAGAACCTATTTGGAGAGTTAGGTATTAACGATCGATTACAATGGAAAGAGCATTCTATGATATTTGCTATGCCAAGTAAGCCCGGAGAATTTAGCAGATTCGATTTTCCCGAAATCTTACCTGCACCATTAAACGGTGAGCTTCTTTTTTTTTTTTAGTTATCCTTGTAACAAAATCCTTTTTCCTACAGCAATATATACTTAACAATTTATGTAAATTGGCAGGAATATTGGCAATCTTGAAGAACAACGAAATGCTGACGTGGCCGGAGAAGATCAAATTTGCCATCGGACTATTGCCAGCTATACTTGGCGGTCAACCTTATGTCGAGGCTCAAGATGGAATAACAGTCAAAGACTGGATGAGAAAGCAAGTATGTACTCTTTTTATTTATTTAATTTTATTATTTTTTTAGTTATGTGATTCATGTAATTATTCGAACCATTTTCAGGGTATACCAGATAGAGTAACTGATGAAGTTTTCATTGCCATGTCGAAAGCACTCAACTTCATAAACCCCGATGAGCTGTCGATGCAGTGCATTTTGATTGCCTTGAACAGATTTCTGCAGGTACCCCTCTCTCTCACACACGCACACACACACCCACGTGTGTGTGTGTGTTAATTGTTATAGTGTGTGTGGGCCCCACTAATTCGGATGAAAATGAACAGGAGAAGCATGGTTCGAAGATGGCATTTTTGGATGGAAATCCGCCGGAAAGACTTTGCATGCCGATTGTTGAGCATATTCAGTCACGAGGTGGCGAAGTTCGATTGGACTCTAGAATAAAAAAGATTGATCTAAACGACGATGGAACTGTGAAAAGCTTCATAATGAACAACGGGAGTGTGATTAAAGGAGATGCATACGTATTTGCAACTCCAGGTATACATACATATACATATATATTCTTCGATATTCTTTTTTAATTTAGTCCCGAGTATTTTCAAGATTTCTTATGTACTATTTATCTTGTCAGTTGATATCTTGAAGCTTCTTGTCCCCGACGAATGGAAAGAGATGCCATATTTCGGGAAATTGGAGAACTTAGTTGGTGTTCCGGTTATAAATGTTCACATATGGTGAGTTTTTATTTGGATTTCTGTTTTTTTATCGACTCATTTCAATAAAAAAATGTCTAATGTATGATGTTACCTTCGGTCACAAGGTAGTGTTATTTCATTGTAAGAGAAATGGATAAATAAATGATATTTACTTACGTACGTGAGTCGGATTTTTCCTCTGCAGGTTCGACAGAAAACTGAAAAATACATACGATCATCTTCTTTTCAGCAGGTTTCGTAATTTCCATTTGTTTTTAATTATCTTATTTACGACCTTTTTCTCTTATAAAATTCTACCGAGATTCGATTTTCATGGATTTTTTCATGTCCGTGCAGAAGTCCACTTCTCAGCGTCTACGCTGACATGTCCGTGACTTGTAAGGTAAGAATGCATGCTCTAAATCTAGAAATATTTACTTAAATATCTTTTTTTTTTAAATCCGTTCTTTTTTTTTTTTCTTCGTATAAATATTTTTGTATAGGAATACTACGACCCAAACAAATCTATGTTGGAGTTGGTTTTTGCACCCGCGGAAGAATGGATCTCACGCAGTAACGAAGAAATAATCGAAGCCACAATGAAGGAACTCGCTAAGCTCTTTCCCGACGAAATTTCTGCTGATCAAAGCAAGGCAAAAATATTGAAGTACCATGTCGTCAAAACTCCTAGGTAATTAAAAAAAAATTGGGTGCGAGTTTAATTATCCCGTAAAGAAAAAAAAAAAAAACCCGACCCGAGTTATCTTTTGTAGGTCTGTGTATAAAACGGTACCTGGATCCGAGCCTTGTAGACCGTTACAAAGGTCTCCGTTAGAAGGATTCTATTTAGCAGGCGACTACACTAAGCAAAAGTACTTGGCTTCGATGGAAGGTGCCGTTTTATCCGGAAAGTTCTGCGCTCAGGCGATTGTTCAGGTGATTTATCCGCTACATTTTTTTTGCAAGTAATAAATTATTTTTCGATTAAAAAAAAAACGAGAAAAGCTTAGACTTTAATTTATTGCATCGTATTTTACTACAGGATTACGAAAAGCTGGCTGCGAGAGGGCAGAAGAAGTTGGCAGAAGCAAGCTTTGTCTAACTCGATTCAAAAACCGAAACCGCAGTAAATTTGTCTTGCAATTAAGTATGTGAAGAGATTAATTAATCAGGCAAACTTTAATAAGTTAAATATTCTTTAAATACGAAAAAAACGAACTTCTCTCATGCAAGTCCTGTTAAGTATATTCTATTTCACCGGTCGGGCTCAAAATCATATACCAGCGTTTTATAGTATGAATAGACGCATTTCGAATAGAACGCGCTTTTTAACCTTTTGAAAAGCACGCGAAGCAAGATCGAAACATTGAACATAGCACGAACGTAAACTTCGATTTTAGCAAAGAGAATTAATATGAAAAAGGGTAAGCAGTTGTTCTTGGCTTGCACGTGAATTAGCTTTGGTTGGAGCTATTTATTATTTCTTGAACCCATACTTACAAAAAAATAAAAGTAGTCTAATATGATATTTCAAATATTCCAAGGGCTGCTGTATAAATAAATACTACCATTTGCAATGGGGTCGCTAATACATAATTAATTACCCAAAGGCCGCTTTGCTAATCTACTGGTTAACGTTAATCGTAATTAACTATTCAACACAGTCGAGAGGGCACTAATAGTGTTAGGAGGAATCTTCCTTGCTACTTTCACTTTTTTTACTTTGCCACCATTCATTGAATATATTCTATTATATTATATTAGAGCCCCAAAAACTATTTTTATTACAATTAGGTCCTCACATATGATTTTCTTTTACATATTTTTATATAAATAAACAAATAAATGCAAATGGAGACCCCAAAAAAATATTTTTATATTAATATTAAAATAAAGACTTCAAAATATAATTTTTTTGACTAGTGCCCCATATGGAATTGGGTCGACCCTGTATATATATATAATCGACGTAAATATTGGGTATAAGTGAATTATATATTGTTTTTGAATGAGATATTTTGAAGGAATGGATCCATATAGGGATTTAGGTTGTCTGAAGATCAAATCAGACCTTGGAATTGGTCAAGAATATAGAATATGAAGATCATATGATTCGAATCTTGTTAAACACATGCAAGAATATTTATGCTTGATGGGTCGGTTATCTTTCTGGCAGTTAATTAGATTCCATAAATCAGCATTTCAATCTTCTTTCTTACATTAGTAAACTGTCACAAACATAAGACACAATCTTTGCATATGTCTATCAACATTGAACATCAATTTTTAATATTTATAAAACATTTGATTTGGATTTTCTCTTGATTATATGTTCACCATGCATGTGTAGTTCATTTGCCCAATTTTCTAAATATTTTTTTTTGCAATAAATCATATCTTGCAATTACTAGCGGAGCAATGATTTTGAGCACTGGGAAGAGGTTTGAACGAGGCGAACTCGGCTGTTTTGGCAGGCTCGAGCTCATCGCAGTTTTCGAGTCGGCTCAGCTCGTTTACTACTCCTAGTCCTACGGGACAAAATGCATTAATTGAAAAATGATGAAGTGAGCCGATTATGCTATTATACAAAAAAAAAAAAACATTTTTTATATAAAATAATAGGAATTTTAAGTAAAAATGAGCAAACTAAATTATGAAAGAAAAACAATATATAGAGAATTAAATAAGAAAATCATGGAAGAGATACTCTATCACCAAAATTATATACCCGACATAAATTAAAAAAAAATAAAAAAAAATAAAGAGCCTAGTTCAAGACTATATTATTATATTATTAAATTAATTTAAAAATGAACTAAAATATCCGTGACACCTTGGAACAAATTAAAGCTTGCCGGCTATTCACACAACATTTTCCCCCATAATCACTCCTCTTTGCCTTTTGTCTTCATTTAAACAATTTTCCACTTCTCATCTACCCTTTACCCCTATTCTTTTTTCACTTTCCACCCTCATTTATTAAATATATAACTAATTAACCCCTCCCACATATATATATATTTTTTTACTATTTTAATATTTGGTACAAACTCCCATGCAGATCCATGAATTCACGAACCCTGACTATGTACATCCATCCCTACTGTCTTAACCTAGTCAACTTTCATCTATAAATAATAAACCCCATTTACCAATTCTTCACCATTTTAGATTGTCTCTCTTTTTTGCCCTAAAAATTATTCTTCTTGGGTTTATTTTGATTATTTCATTTTCTTCTTATAACACTCAAGAACTAATTTATAAAATTCGAAAAAAAAAATGGCTGAGTTGCAAATGAATGCTAAATCTTCAAAGAGATCGTCGTCGTCGAAGAGAAGCAACAACGGGTTCACAAGAAAATGCGCGTCTTTGGTTAAGGAACAACGAGCCCGGATCTACATTCTCCGCCGCTGCGCCACCATGCTCCTCTGCTGGTACATTCAAGGAGACGATAACTGATCGGATCGGAGTTTGTGCAAAATGACCGAAATGCCCTTTATTTTTTCCACTACATAAATCCCCGAACCCGGTTTCATTTGCATGGATAGAAACCCGGGTTTTTTTTTTGCGGGTCAAGACCGGCTTTTTTTGTGGCGGAGTCCGAAAGATATATGTATATAATTCTCTCCTAAATTTTGCAATATTTTTTTTTTGACCTAATTGGAGAAATTCCATAGGGTTTTTTTGGCAAAAAAAAATGGAGAGATTTATATATATGTACTTGCTGCATTTGAAGCTTGTTTTTTGAATCATGCACAAACCGGAGTTTCTTGAAGAGCTAATGATGCATGAAAATGGGGGAATATTCCAAGGAAATTAAATTGAAGTGATCAATATATATATTGGTGTGGGTGTGGATTGGAGAATGTGTTTGCTGTAAATGGCTCTATATCTATCTATCTATTTTAATTTTGTATGTCTGTTCTGAAATTTTCTTCCTTCCTTTGTTATTTTGGATGCTTTCATTTGGCCAAAATAATTTTTATCATGTAATAAATTGGAAGGAGATAATTAGTGATGTAATGTTTTGGAATAAAATTGTGATGTTTTAATATATATTGTGTTTTTTTTTTCGCTTTAGCCCCCCCCCCCCCCCAAAAAAAACAATTATTACGTCATAAAAGGAGACGAGTGATGCAGTAATTTGGAATAAAATTAAAAGGAAATATTGTTTCAAAATTAATTTGAAATGGGTCACTAGTGGAAATTATATGGGCCGGCGGCGCATTATAATAAGTAATGACGAAGTGGCAAAGCCCATTATGCAAAAGTTTTTAATTATTATTTTTTTTCTTTCTAAATATGGGAATGGAAAAACTTAATAAAGAAAAAAAATAGAAAAGACCAATTTCCCTCCATGTTTTCAACCTTCATTACGATGTCCTAATGATGTTGAAGTTACATTGGTTCTTTTCGTTTTTGCTTGACAAAAATTGAGGGTTTTTTCTACATTGATTTTACTTCTCTCTTCGTTGTTTTGTGTGCCTTTGTCACCATGAGCACCACCTGCTTGAGGAAATGTGTAAACGAAATATGAGTTTTTTTTTTCTTTCACAGAAATATGAGTAGAGTAGCACACTGTTAATGTTTATGCAATTGTGTTTTATAATGCTAGTTTCATCATGTCCGCATAGGATTACCATTGTTCTTAACTTTGCCTTTACATTCATCTTGCAGTGAAAGATTAGATTCGTGTCAAGAATCGAAGAAGTTGTTGTCGGACATACAAAATTAGTATGTTAAAATTATAGCAGCTTTAGTACTACTCTACTCATTCAAATGTATGTTCAGTACGTGTCGTATGTTTCCATGCACGAGTTTCTTTCGAAGCAAATAATTCTCTCTGTACACCTTATAGACTAATTTACATAAATCTCTGCTTTTGTAGGGAAAGAAAAAAAAATTAGCTGCAGCAAACTCACATTTCCGTGTTCATGCGTTATTTTCTCCTTCCGTTGTTTGTCTGTTAGATCCAACATCCTTAAGCCAATCAACAACTTCTTGAATATTTGGCCTCTTCAAAGGATTCTGGTTAACGCACATACACGCAACATCAAGCACTTGCAGCATCTCTTCGTCAAAGCCTTTCCCTCTCAAAATCGGATCAAACACGTCTTCTTGTTTCCCCTCACTCCTCATTTTCTGCACCCACACAACCAATTCTCTCGCGGTTTTCGGCTTGAACAGCTCAACAGGTCTTCTCCCAGTCAATAGCTCAAGCATAACCACACCAAAACTATAGATATCCCCTCTCAGAGTAGCTATCCACGACTGGCTATATTCCGGCGGAATATACCCGAGCGTACCGACCAATTCCGTGGTGACGTGTGTATGATAAGGAAGAATCAATCTTGCTAGCCCGAAATCCGCCACATGTGCTTCGAAATTCTGATCAAGAAGGATATTACTTGACTTGATATCACGGTGCACTATGTGTGGCTCGCAGATTTGGTGCATGTAAGCCACACCACAGCTTGCTCCACGAGCAATCCTCAAACGGGTGGGCCAACTGAGCTGGGTCGCTCCGTCGGGTTTTTCGTGCAACCAGTAATCCAAGCTCCCGTTCTCCATGTAAGTGTATATCAACAATCTACAGCCATCGTGCACACAGTAGCCTTGTAGTGTAACGAGGTTCTTGTGTTTTGCTGTGGACAGAGCTTCCACCTCAGCTGTGAACTCTCTCTCCATCAACCCCATGTCACCGGAGAGTTTCTTGATCGCAAGTTTTGTGCCGTCGGTTAAAGTTGCTCTGTACACCAAACCGAAACCCCCACAGCCGATTATATTCGATTGGTTGAAATTTTCGGTGGCTTTTAATATATCGAATATTGTGAGATCCTTCACTTTTTTCTTGTCATTTGGGAACAATATTACGAGGCTAGTGTCCTTTGCAGCCTCAGGATATACTCCCGAGGAATTGTATGATACAGTGTCGAAATCTTTTTCTTCGAGTTTGTTTTTCGGTTGGATTCTCCTCTTTAAAAAGATCCAATATAGAAACAGGGCTGTAGCGAAAATGGCTGAACTGATCACGAGTGTTAGTACGATTGTTTTCTTCCGATTATTACACCCTTTATTCATTGCTGTTTGAGTACTCGTATTGCCTTGTTGGCGGTTATTATTACAGGGCAGCTGCAGAATCGGACCACACAGCTTTGGATTTCCTTCGAAGCTCGAATTTGGGAATGTATCAAACTGCCCTCCTGTGGGTATCGGCCCTTCAAGATTGTTGTACGCAACGCTGAAAGAAGATAGAAAGTTGAGGTTTTGCAGCGATGCCGGAATTTCGCCGGTGAGATTATTTCCAGAAAGGTCCAGTTTTTCTAAATTGGTGAGATTCGATATTGTTTCTGGAATATTCCCGGAGAAATGGTTGTTACTAAGATCCAGTGCAATGATGAACTTCATTTGACCAATCTCTATCGGAATAGTTCCTACGATGCTGTTATTACCGAGGTATATCGCTGGCGGCAAATTCGAGAGCTGATTGTACTGCAGATTCGATACGTTGTCCGGCTTAACAAAAACGGGCAGCTCCAAAATGCTACTGTTGACTAAATCGGAATTCTGCTGGTACGCTAGTCTACGCAGTGTAATAATCTCGATTGGAAAGTACCCCGTAAGTAGATTATGAGACAAATCTAAGTAGAAAAGATTTGGGAGTGTCCCAAACCAACCTGGTACATAGCCTGTGAAGTTATTGAAGGATAAATCAAGAACCTCCAGCTTAGTCAGCTTCGATAGCCACGTGGGAATTCGACCGGTCAATCTGCAGCCACCGAAAGCGAGTACTTGAAGATTTCGAAACGTATCAACGCCAATAAAGTCTTCATTGCCTGGCAACGGTTCGTTGTAGAAATTTTTCGAGAGGATTAAGGTTGTCAGATTCTTGCATCCTGTTAGAATCCTCAGTGCATTTGTCACGTTGGTGAAACCGTTGACAGAAAGTGAGAGGAATGATAGAGACTGCAACGAAGCTATCTCCGGCAAAATATCTCCGCTGAGATTGTTTGTGGCCAATCGAATTGCAGTAAGTGTCTTGCAAGAAAACAGAGTTTTTGGCAAATTACCACGAAAGAAATTATTGCCAAGATCGACTGATTTAAGTTGGACGAATTTCGAGAAATCAAAATCGGAAAGTTGACCTTCGAGGTGGTTGACTCTTAGATTCAGTGCTGTGAGTTTGGTGCAGTTTGTGAGTGAGGGTGGAATAGTGCCATTCAGATTATTTATATGTAGCTGCAGCTGTTCCAATTTATACAGCTTCCCGATATCTTGAGGAATTGTTCCTGTAAAGTTATTACCGTACAGGGCGAGGATTTTAAGATTGACGAGGTTGACGATTCTTTCGTTGTCGATCGGTCCAGTGAGCTTGTTTCCAGGTAAGTACAGTTCCTGCAGTTCCACCAGCCTGTAAATATCCTGCGGTACCTCTCCAGTTAGATAACTGAACCCTGCTCTGAGGCTCTGCAGTTCCGTACAGTCACCGAAGCCTTGACCAATCGGGCCCACGAAATCGTTGTTGGAGAAATCGAGGCGGATGATCGAAGGGGAGAAACTGCATATAACTGCAGGAATCGAACCGGAGAAGCTGTTGTTACTAACATCGAAACTCTCCAAATTCAATGCGGATTGGAGGAAAGAAGACTGAATTGCCCCATGAAAATGATTATTCGAAAAGTTGAATATCTGGATAGTGGAAGGAAGTTTGTCCGATTCGATTATCTCATCGGACAACCGATTACGGCTCAAATCAAGAACGCGTAATCGATTCAACGAAGTGAAGAAACCTTCCGGAAGATTCCCGGAGAGCCAATTATGGGAGAGGCTGAGTCGAGAGAGATTCGCGAGATTTAAAATCGAAGGTGATATTGTTCCGGAAAGGCCTCTTGAAGGTAGCCAAAGATTGATCACTCTGCCTGAGGTGATGTCACAGGCAATACCTTCCCAACTACAGCAATCGATCGAAAGCGTCCAATTCAAAGGAGGCGAAGATGAAAGGCTGAGATTGAACGACGATAGAGAATCTCGATCCAACGGATCGCACGAGCCGCGACAGGTATGTACAAGGCAAGAAAGAGATAGTATTACTAGTGTTGGAAATATATCCAAGAAATGATGATGGATATTGTTTTGATTGTGCTTAGTTAAGAGCATGGTTACGATGAGGTATCGGATTCGATTTTCGGCAGGTGAGTTTATTATCTGTGATCGATTTTTTTTTCGTTCGTAAAAACGAAAATCGGAGGAGGAGGAGGAGGAGGAAGAAGAAGACAGATGAAAGTGGTAAAAGATACCATGAAAATCAAAATCATGTGGGGTTAGTCCACTTGTTTTTATTTTTATGATCCAAGTCACAATAAACTTTAGTCCATCACCATAGAGTGGGTGATGTTGACATGGACGCAATATTTTTAGAAAAGCAGAGCTCTTAATTATCAAAAGATAATAAAATAATAAAAATAAAATAAAATAAAGCGTTTACTTTTGGTACGGCTGGCTGTGTGTGTATTTTTAAATTTTATTTTATTTTATTTATTTATTTATTTATTATTTATATTGTATACGTATACATGCAGCAAAATAGATAAATATCATTGTTGTTTGTTTGGTTGTTTGGATTAGGAGAAAGCGTGTAATTTACGTGGGTGTGAGAGAAACACCAAACTGTGTGTGTGTGTGTGTGTGTGTGTGTGTGTGTGTGTGTGTGAGAGAGAGAGAGAGAGAGAGAGAGAGAGAGAGAGAGAGAGAGAGAGAGAGAGAGAGAGAGAGAGAGAGAGAGAGAGAGAGAGCCCCATTTCACGAGGCCCAATAGGCAAAAGCCACTTGTGCAATTTTAGCAGCATATATTATCATATATCTATATATATTTTTAGATAATTAATTTGTTTAATTAATTTTGAGTATGAATAAATAAATGGTGGGGAATTAGATTCTTTGAATTAAAAAAAGAAATTGCATCTAAAGGTGATGGGTTGTATTGAGTGAGCTGACAAATGTGTGTAAGAAATAAGAAAATGGGCATCAAATGCACATGTCATGTCTTGTTACAAACAAAATACATCAAATTGGGTCTTCTTATCAAAAATTAAAATTAAATTAAAATAAAATTGGGTCTCTCTCTGTATTGTATTTGTATGTGTGCACACGTACAGTTCAATAATGACATTTATTTTGCTTCGTTGACCAACCAAAATCAATTCTTTTTGCTACTATATTTCCGAAAATGACATTTTCTTGACTGTATTAACTATAAATTTCACACCATAATTGCGATTAGGGATTTTTTTAGAATTGTTGACTTTTTCGATGATTCGTCCACGAAATATTTAATGTACATGTTGGCCTTATAGAAGAAGGTTGTAGTTGCCCAATCTGTTCAAATAAATCCTCAACTTGAAATTGAATTGTGGATTATGAGAAATTCAAGAAAATTGAATAAATGGATGTGATTATGATTATGATTACGAATTTTCGATTACGATATCAAGAAAAGAAAACACTAAATCTGCAATCCAAACCCACCATGTATTGTCATCATTATTTTTCAGAAGAAACTAAAAAAAAAAAACTAAAAAAAAATTATTACATAAGTTCCACTAGTCATTGATTACTAAGCAATGGTTGGCCAATTGCCCTAAAAAACGCAAATTATTACAAGAAAGCCCATCTATAAATGATATGATTCCACTTTCCATTTTCAACTAGAGTTATCATTGTAGAGAGATATGATCATGTACCAACTACAACCAGTGATAGTTTTACCGTTGATCTACACACACCAATGATGGTGTTTATGTGTTTTTGTGCATATGAGTGGTAAAGATCTACCTGGTGTATTTCACCACGTGCAACATAATATAGACCCTCCAAAGTAGGAAGAAGATTCTAACTTTGCTGCCGGAAATAGGATGAAGATTCTAACTTTCAACCACGAACATTCAAGCTCGAACTCAGAAAAAAAAATAAAAAATAAAAAATCGATGAGGATACACTCGTAACAACATATATAGTACGTGGAATGATTCACAAAAAAAAAATGTGCTGCAATTCGTTGCTTTCGACCTACCGATAAAATCTACAATTTCAACTGTATATTCTTAAAACTGTTGATGGACCTTAATTTTGCCACCATTACATTCATAATTAAAAAAAAAAAAAAAATTGCTGCAACATATGAGTGTAACGGATGTCGGAATAATGTACTGACTATCGAGAGTTAATTACGAGCTGCGACACTTTGCTCTATTCGCTGCCATTGCCCACTCTCCATTCCATCGCCAAACAAACGAAGAATAAAGAAAAGATTGAATTTTATCGTCTGTTATATGTTCTTAACGATGAAATTTGTGTAGCACTTCTTAACAATGTATAGCCCCATCAATCATCGTCTGCACCACGAAAAATATTTAATCTGCATTACTCTGATAATCATAAATTGACGAGCCGTGCATCGATCACAAATCATTAAATTAAAAAAAATCACGACTCACCGTTTGATGGATCGATGTGCACAAAGAAACTAGCGGCAACAATAAGATAGCATAGTATAAGCATTAGTCCTTTAAAATAGTTTGATTGACCTTCCTGCATCCGCAAAAAACACGAGATTTCATAATTAATCTCTACTTTTTAAAACAATTTAAATAAATAAATACAGAAAAAATCGGGAAATTATATACCTGAAGCATAAAAGCCACGACTAGCACAGTAATAAAAAGTGTAGCCGTCTCAAATAGTTGAAAATTCAAATCCATTGGCTTCCCCATTATCCAGCCAACAATTACACAAAACGGAATCTGCCATGCATGATAATTAATTAAAGAAAATATAATAAACGAGGGCGATAATAATTTAAAAAAAAACAAAGTTGATAATAACTCCTAATAAAACCTTACCACAAACATAGATATCTGAGTAGACGATCCAACCGCAACTCCAATAGTAATATCCTGGAAACAAATAGAAAGAGAGGCAATTATATATATATATATATATATATATATATATATATATATATATATATATATATATATATATATATAATTTTATAATAAATACTCACAAGCTTGTCCTTCATTGCAAACATAATAGCACTAGCATGTTCTGCAGCATTCCCAACGATAGGAAGCAAAACAACACTAATAAAAGCCACCGGTATATTCATCGAATCAGATGCTCCCTGAAATTAAATCGGTAACAAAATCTTCGTCAAATTCCAATCAAAATCACCACTAGCGTAATATATTTCATTTTTATGTTATTTATTTTCGTTACTGCATGATCAAATAATTTACCTGTATTGCATCAACAAGGTATCCGGATAAAACAGATATCCACAAAGTCAAAACTGCGAGCCACCCTATCGCTTCCCAGTGAGTAATCTCCGGTACATCTTCTTCTTCAGCTTCGTCGTTATTCTCCCTCGCCTGCAAAAATAAATTATTAGTTTCGATTTTCAATTTTAATATTTGCAAATGTCACCCTCAATAAGATTAAAAAAATATATGTATATACTATATACGAACCTCGTCAAGAGAACTATATAGATTGTTCTGAATCTTGAGCTGAAAGAAAATATAGCTGGCATAAGCGACGAGCATTATGCAGCTACTAACTCGTGAAAGGGCAATCTCCGATTTGCCCTTGTGCACTTCCGAATGAGTGAAATGGAGCACAGCTGGAAATAATATTCCCATAACAGCCATTAACAACAATCCCGAATTCACAATTGCAGTGGCCTATAAAAATTTGGCTCACATTAGTATTTATTTAACAAAATTAACAATTTTGAACATTCGTATGTTTATAATAGTCTTTTTTTGAGATGATTAGCCACCTTATTGAAAATCTGGACTTTGTGATGATGAACAAGCCCACCGCAGAAGAAAGCACATCCAAGAACTAAAAGCATGTTTGATAAAATCGAACCGAGCAAAGATTGTTGAACAACCCTAATCATTCCATTCTTTAAAGCGTACATCGAAATTATCATCTCGGTAGCATTTCCAAATGTAGCATTTAAAAGACCCCCGACTGCAAATTAAACGACAAAAATGAAAGAGCGTTGATGAGAGAGAGAGAGAGAGAGAGAGAGAGAGAGAGAGAGAGAGAGAGAGAGAGAGAGAGAGAGAGAGAGAGAGAGAGAGAGAGAGAGAGAGAGAGAGAGAGAGAGAATTATGTTGTGATTAATTTCAAGTGAACAAAACCAAAACGAAAGTGGGATCGGTACCTGTAGGCCCTGTAACGCATGCAAGTTGCCTACAATAAAATTGTACGACTAAGGAAGTCAGTTTTCTTTCCATGAAACGGAAAAATAAAAACTAGCCGAAGAAAATTTTCATTCGTTAGACGATAAAATTGTATGACTAAGGAAGTTACTTACTCAGTAGCATAACCCAAACGCTCCGCCAAAGGAATGATGCCAACTAAGCTAAAGAAGAAGACCAACCCCTGTAATAAGTTATAGTTAAAAATCACCAAAACGACACAAGAAATACAATTAAATTATCCTTTTTTTACGGACAAAGTTTTGATTTTTTCTTACATGCTTATTGGTAAGATAGTGTAGCATTATTGCAAGGGGGCCAAACGGGAGCAAGAAGTTGATCCTTGCTTTGAACAAGACAATGTGTATACTTCTCAGAATACTGATTCGATGCACTTTTCTTATAACCCAAGAAGCTGAAAATCTTCGATTCAACAAGATATGAGACGGTTCGAAATTCATCGGCTGCATTTTATTCGTCGTGCGGGCCCCACTGAAAGGGATCTCCTCATCGGAATCTAGGTCTACCTTTTCCTCTATAGATCCCATTTCCGGAAACATCACTTACTGCATACATCAACAAAATGAACGAAGAACTCGAAAAAATTAAAGGTTATTTCGAACATACAAATCACTTTGCAAATATCAATTCGAATGAACTTTGAAGACTATAACTCATCCGAAAGCAATACATCAAGAATTCGAAAAGACAAACAGTATTACTGCACTAATGTTGAATATATCAAATGCTTCAACTCAATAAATTAGACTAAAATCAAGAATTGCTACTAAAATGTCAAATTGTTTGGATTTTCGGAATCAAGTCAAGACCTGGTCAACAGAAAATAAGATTGATTGGATAATAAGCAAATGGCCCAGATCAATTGGCAACAAAAATTAAAAAAACAAAACTTCAAACAAAAAAAAAAACATGAGAACTCAAAAACTACGTCGTTTACCAGAAATGAGTCAACAAATCAGGCACAAGCAAAAAAAAACCCAGATCAAGAAAAAAGCGAAGCAGATAATAAAGTTGGTTTCTTTACCTTTAATTTAAGTGGGCAACTGTTGAACTGATGCAAGAGATTTGAAACCACAAAATGGTTCAAGTGAACCTAATAATCAGATCAAGAAATACAAAAAGACTGTATTTTTATTTTAATTTATACGTATATATGAATATAATTACGAAGCAAAATGAGGGGAAAAATGGAATAGTGTGTCAGATGTTTTTCTTTCTTGAATGGGGCCGGCGAGGATAAAGGAAGTTGCCAAGAAATAGCGCCTAATGTGCTATTTTTTCAATTTGATTTGGACTTGGATCTACTTGTATTATTGTTTATTATTATTATTTTCTTATAAATTAATAATTATAATGATGTTTGATCTTTCTTACTTATACAAATCATGTTTATTAATCTTTTGTTTCTTTTTATGAAAATAATTTTACAGAGGTTACATAAGGCTATTAATATTATACTATTATGGAATTTATTTTCCATAAAAAATTGAAATTTACATATTAAAAAATTAATTGCGAATATTAAAGTGAGTTTTATGGTAATTTTTGTTCTTAAGTAGTGTAGTTTGAAAGAGAGAGGTATGTGGTACACGCAGTCTAGTTGGTAGGGGATGTGATATTAGTGGAATCTTGAAAAATGTTATTTATATGTTTACACTCGATGAAGGTTACACATGTTTTTTTACCATTGATATATACACATTAATGTATTTTATGTGTGTGTATTTGTGTGTATATGAATAATAAATATATATGATATATTTCATCTGGTGTAGCATAAAATAAATCCTTGATAGCATTAATTATGGACCGTAATAAGAACATAATATATGTTAGGCTCGATTTTGAACTTCTTTAATTTTAACTCGTTTTCCAAAATTAAATGTGGTCGTTAAACTTTTTGAAATTTGACTTCTTTTTATTATTTTGCACGATTTACACCTTAAACTATCTCTTCTTGAAATACAAATAAATATTATTCTATTTCTCAAATTATTTTACCAAAACGAAATAAAAGTAAGTCCCGACAATCTTACTAAACATAACAACCGAGTTCAAATCCCACTTACAAATTTTTTTCTTAGATCAAACTTGTTGCATAGAGTTTTTCTTTGTATAGTTTACACTTGTCGAGCAATTTACTAGTTATTTCAGGACAACCAAATTAATAAATCAGTGCACTTATATAATTGTTTGTTCGTTATTAAAAATATTATCAATTATGAGTGATTATGAATAATGAAATAGTATAATTTAACATGGAAGAGTAGATTAGATAAAATATCTCATAATCCCACTAGTTTCCCACTATGAATTAAACATTAAACAACAAAAATCATTAACTCATAATTAAAGAGTCGATAAGATCACTCATCATTCTTTATTGCTTAGTGGGGAATGATGTGTTTAATTGGGCTCAAATCATATAGGCCCAATTTTATATTTAATTTACATTTGGGCCCAAAATAAGATGCTCGAGTCCATACTTCCTCTCTCATACACAATATAGCCAGTCCAATTTAAAATTATAACAAAGGCCCATTAAGTTATTATTAAACAATAATTAAATTTTGAATAGGGACCATTAATTGATTGGGTGATTGGCATTGACTATGTCAGAAATGTGTACAATAAATAATATAATTAAAATGGAGGAGCAAGTTATACATGATGATGAAGAACACATAATAAATATATCAAGAGAGAATATGATATGATGCATTGCAGACTGCAGAAGAGGGAGCCCCTCACAGATACTGCAAACTACCCTACCTTATTAACTCTAATTTTTTTATTCAATCATCCCACCTTTTTTTTTTCTTTTTTTTTTTTTATTTTTTTAAATTCATTTAAATAAAATTTGAGTTTAATTACTGTGATATAATATGAAATATGTAATTATATTATACATCATGGTAACCAAAAATAGTTTCTTATGAACTGACAAAATTGGCGGTACATCCATCATATAGTATAGTAAGAGTAAGACCGTTTCTAAATTTTCGACTCGTTTTCGATATTTGACCCGATAAACTGGAAAAATTAAGCAATAGATTTTGCAAATTGTTACAAATCATTTTCTGCAGAAGTTTCCTCCACAATGTATTGCTTCAATCTTTCCTCATTCTATCTTAAAAAATATGAAGGGAAAAAAAAATTAATATTATATTTATTTAACTATACCAAGTTTAATTATGCAGCTTCGGTGTTTGACTCGGGTCGGATACTCTTTGAATCGGCCAAACCAACCCCCGAAATTCCGTACAACTCCTTGTTTCTGCACTTCATTACAGTGGATTATATCATTGTTTTTCCATTAATCAACCATTTTTAATTACTTAATCAACAAGAAATCCAAATTAAAAAAAAAATATAGGTCACATATGACATATCCAAGACAAACATCTTACTATTTATTTAACAACAAATAGACAAGAATAGTTCAATGGAATATATTATTACTCCAATTACTAAATCATATAAAATCTGCCAAGAATTATTATTATTATTGTTTTTTTTTTTCTTAAAGAAAAGAAAAGAAAAGAAAAAGGAAGCATAAGATATGATCACATGTCTGCACAGAGCAACATGTAATTGTGTTTTTGGGTTTATGCTTTCATTATTGGAAATTGTCCTTGATACATAAAATAAATAAAAGCTCAAAAGATGTTCTTAAAGAACCAACCAAATCTTACTCAATTCATCATAACCCTATCAAACTTTACCTTAATTTAACCAATTTATCCACTAATCTAAGCATAAACAGCAAAAAATCGACATGCAATTGCTACCGAAAGGATAGTAATTAGCCGATAGAAATGTAATCGTATCCATCGTTTATCCATAATCATACAAACAAAGGCAAAACTACCGCAAAAGGAATTAGTTTCTCTTAGATCAAACAAGCAAGAATCGCAGCATCGGAAACTCGGAAATGATCCCATAAAAGTAAAAATTCATTCATTTATCGACCATTATACACGATTGATAAAATTTCTAGATTGATCGATTGCTCATGAAATCCGAAACTACATTTTGGCCTTACAAAAAAAAAAAAAAATACCAAGAATTCATTCATTACCGCTTCCCTTTTCCCCTAAACAACCATAATCATTCACCACCACCACCACGGCACCACCGGTCCACTACCACCACCACCATCATAAAAGTTGCACAAAGTTCAACCGGATAAAAAATTTCAACATATAAAAGAAAAAAAGAGGACCAAGAAAAAGAAAATGGATAATTCCATCTAATGTAGCAATATCAAGCCGAATGCTGACGAGGCGGTGGCGGCAATAGCTGATGAGACTGATGCTGCAGCGAATTACCGCCGCTGCCGCCGCTACCATTACTCCCCGGAGAAACATACTGCAAAATGAAGGGATGTCTCAACAGCTGTCCAGCCGTCCACCGCTTGGCCGGTTCCCTCTGAAGGCAGCAAGCAATAAAATCCCTAAACTCCCGGCTGGCGGAGGAGGGCGCCTCCGGCGGCTGAGACATACAGATGGCGCACATAAGACTAGCCCAGTCACCTTGCCTCCCAACAGAAAACGGAAACTTCCCCAAGTAAAACTCCAGAATGCTGACCCCGAAGCTCCAGATATCTCCGGCGTAACCGTCGTACTGGCCGTGGTTGAGATCGGTGTTGATTCGTTCGGGGCTCATGTAAGCTATGGTGCCGACGGCGGAATTGCAAGGGTCCATCGTTTGGGCGAGGACGCGCGATACACCGAAGTCGGCGATTTTGACGATCCGTTTGGAATTGATGAGGAGATTCGAGGGTTTGATATCTCGGTGGACGATTTTGCGCTTGTGGAGGTAGTAGAGTCCGGCGAGAATCTGGCGGGCGAGATCGGAGAGGGAGGGTTCGTGAGGGATGTGGGTCCCCTCGAGAGAGCCTTTGTCCATGTACTCGAGAAGGACCTGGATTTCGGCGTTGTGATCGAACAGGTTGTGGCATTTCACCACGTTGATGTTGTCCACATCGCGGAGGATCTGGATTTCCCGGCACATCTGGATGCGGATGGCGTCGTCGTGGTTGCCGTAGATCACCTTCAGCGCGTAGAGCTTGTTGGTTGGGCGGTGGAGGACTTTGTAGACGGTGCCGCCGGCGCCGCTGCCGATTCGGCTGATTCGATCCAGCTCGGCGTATTCGAGGGGGTGGGTGAAGGTGGTGGTGGTGGTGGAGCCGGAGGAGGAGGATGATGGGGCGGAGCTTGGTGGGAGGGGGAGCGGGACGGCGAGGGAGGTGTCTCGTTGGGGGAGGGGGAGGGTTAGGTCGGGGCGCCGCCGACGGTTGGCGTTTTTTGCTGCGGCGGCGGCGGGCGGTGGTGGCTGTTGAGGTCTCATGATTTTGATGGAATCTCTATCAATCTAAACCGATTTTTTTTTTTTTTTTATAAAAAAAAATAATAAATTGGTTTAGGTGAATTGAAGGAATTTATGAATGGGAAATGAAGAGAAGAATGATGGAAATTAGGAAGAGTAAAAATTGATTGGGGAGGAAGAAATCCATGGAAGAATGAAAAATTGAACAAGAAATCACCGAAACAGAGAAGAAGGTTCTTTGAAGTGGGGAAAGTCCAAATGGGGGGAGGAATATCAAATATGGTATTTTTTGGGGTGTTATAATATTTCTATTGTTTTTCTGGGGTTGTTTTGTGATTTGTGAAAGTGAAATGGGAGAGAGAGATTAAAGATGATGTATGTATGTATACTATATATACAAAAAAAAATAGAAAAATAATAATAAAAGAAATTGTGAGGAGTGTTATGCGGTGTGTGGCTAAACAAACCTATTGCCACTCTAATAATGCCATTGACACTCCATATTTTCTTTTAACCAATTACCACTTGTGGACAATATTTTTATTTTTTGACAATTTTTTTTCTTTAATTTGTTTTAGTCATTTTTCTTTCAATGTGTAGTTAGTTACCAACAAATTTGTGAAAATCAACTATAAAAATTTGAAGCTTTTTTGCATGAATTTTTTAAGTTTGAATATTTGAATGTTACTGACATCTCATAAGACTGACGACGTGATTTATAAAGTTAAATCGCACATTTATATGTTGTGGATGCGTGTAAGATACATTAGTTCTACATATAATACGTAAATGAAACATTGTGCCGCTTGATACGTGGTAGTAAATAAAGTAACAAAACGTAATTGAAGGCAGCTATGAGAATTCACACGGAAGAAATAGTATGTCAACGATTTGTTTTCGTAAATGAATTCAAGTAGATAAATTTGGTTGTTCTATTATTGTTGTTAATGTTGATAATTTTTCATCAACGATTCATTAAATCTCATTATATACGTATGGATTGCTCAATTGTGATCGGTCACCAGAACTAATTATTAAATCACATCATACACAATTTTTTTCATAACATAAATATTAATATACTCTTTATCATGCATTATTATTATTATTTATTATTATTATTATTGGAATTGTATGGAGTGGCAATAGTAGAATTGAGACTAAAGACAGACGAGGGAATCGGAGTATTAAAAGGTCAGTGAAAACCACGACTCTCAACAAGGGAGCGTGTACTACACGGACCAACAAGAAGGAAGCTGATAACTGAGTCTGACACGAATACTCCCAACTTGTGTGTGACAGCGTTAAATGTACCGCGTGTGCTTACACACACACACACACACACACACACATTGGGTATCTCGCGGAAGAATTTATTTAAGTGAAAATGCCTTTAGTTATCTGGACCCCACACTCCAGGTTTCCTTCCTCTGCAGCTCTCCACATGTTTGCTTACGCTGTGGCCTCTTTGTTAATTTCCACAAATTATTTCTTTCCGAGAATATTAATTTCAACATTTAATTTTGGATAAAAAGACTTCTAAATAGGCCCCAATAATTAAAAGGCCTCCAAGAAGTCCAATTATATTATTATATTTTTATTGATCCCAAACATGTAAACCCAACCCAGCTTATTTGTTTCAATTTTATCTAAATAATTTCAAGTAGAGTACTATATTTGTTAATTAATTAATTAATCGAATTTGTTAAATATTAAATACAAAGTAATTATAGTAAATTTATTAAGTATAACACCTGCATTATCCTTATCTGTGATTATATATTGATCTATGATTAGTCGCAATACCAGTCCATTAATTAAGGCATGGGAATATTAATTGACACAATAATTTACTTATCGATTTGTTTGTTATATCATGTAACCGTCACATTAAATTAGCTAGGAAAGTCAAATGTGACTAGGTTGATAATTCATTGACAATATACCTCAAAGTTTAATTAAGAGCAATAATAATTGGATGTTGCCGTGTTACACATTCAAGTACTTTATTAAATTATTTTTCAGATAATAAAAAATAAAATATAAATCAGGATAAATTATTCTCCAAAGTCTTAAAATCTATAACATGAGCTTGACTTTTTGTGTGTCTTTTCCCGAAAAATATAGGCGGCTTGACATAATATAAAATATGTAGTATTTATTATTGCCATGGTAATAAATAACAACTAATAAAGTTTGTTTGAATTTAATTACAATGCTTATAGAAAGAGTTTTCACAATTGTCAACCTTTGTTTGATATTTGCTGCCTAAGACTTCTTCCATGCAATTCCAATTACAAAAAAATAAATAAAAAATGTATTTTTTTTTACAGGTAATTGGATTTAATTTAGACATAACTATTATTTTTTCTAGATAATTATGTTTAATCCCTAAAAGGGAAAATTCGTAAATATACCGGAGTTGACTTTTTGTATTTTGAAAAAGTTTATACCTACAAAATCATGACAAATCGCTACTCTATTATCACACATTTATTGAAATCAATTTCAATTTCAGTAGATGGGGAGTCATTTTATACTGTTGGTATTTATGAGGATATAGTTTATAAGTAGAGGTGTAAAAGGAAAATAAAAGTTGACTTTTCACAGATTATTTTGCCCTAATCAACAATATAAAAAATCATTATGGAAGTAGGATAGCCAATATAGGGAAGGGGCCAAGACCCCCTCAACAATTTCCAAATCCCTATTATTTTATATTAAAAAAAATTGTGTATATTAGCATTAATTTTCCCTCCTATAATTTTTTTAATGCATTCGGTCCTTACGACTTAAAATCCTGGCTCCGCTAGTGATTATGGGGTCTTACAAAACTAACTAGCTGACATAAAATTTTAACCGTAAGAGCTACGAAACGTAAATCGAGTGACGGAGTCAGCATTCGATTAAAAAAATAAAATGGAGTCAGTTTATCTAATACCATTTAACTAAACAATGTAGAAAGAAACTTGAGAAAAGACAAAAAGAAATATCCAAACAAGATCTTGACACAAGTTATCACAAATAAACTAATAGAGGAAGACTTGTATACATTTTCATTCACACAGTAAAGTAAAAACCAGCAGAAGATTTGTGCTTATGAAAGCATATATGTAAGTATTGCATCATCTTAACTTAATCCTATATTCTTAATTTAAATATTATATATTCCACAGATTATCGAACTTTTTGACAAAGTCAATGATGTATAATGTTATTAGCATTAGAAAGAAATAAGGGAAACTGCAGAACAATATATATAATATAATATATATGTATATTATGTTATAATAAATTTTAATTTTTTCGACTGAAACCTGGATTCCAATTTCTTGGCACGTTTTCGTGCGTAAATTCGTGTCATTGCACCATCCTTGATTGGCTTAGCCTTTCTCATGGCTTTGGTCATCAGATTTTTCCCGTCTCGTCTAAGTCTATACATGACAACGTAGTCTTCTGGATGGTCGCAATCCGTACAAATAGAGACCTTCTCGAGTGATGTGGCGATTTTGAACAATTGCACGAGGAACGTTTCTTCATTTGCAGAAGCACAATACCCAACCATTTTAAACACCTTCAGATTTTCATGGCGAAACGTATTTGCCACAACTGAAGTTACGTCACGAAATGGCATCATTTTTAATGCTATCTGTCACAACGAAGAGCAGAGTAATTGTTAAAACGGAATTAAGAGAAAAAAAAAATGGCAAATATCAGAATTGAGAATTAATTACCAAATCATCGTGATCGGCTGGGCAGGCCATCAAGTAGTATATCTGTCACAATATCAAAGATAAATAGGTAAAAATAAGGTTCTTGAAAAAAAAAACAGAGTTTTGGCGGAGGGATTCGTTCCTATGATACCACCCCGCGAAAACAATACCGTTAAAAAGATGAAACTACCTCATTAGATTTTTTTTTTAATGTTTTTTAGGGTGCACTGTTGATGATTTATACTGCTTCGAAGGTGCAAACTGCTATTAATGTTTTTGAAAAATGCCAATAGCCAATATTTCGAGGGTGCTTTGTGGAATTAAGCCCAACATAATATATGAAATTGAAATATTCACCTTGGTATTACACTCGTGTAAATTAGGAGATGCCTCTATCAATAATGTGAAAAAGAGAAGGCTTCAGCTAACTTGTGACAGAATGTGCAATTTCAGCACCTTGGGTACATGAAACCGAGGAAAAAGTAAGGGAGGAGGAGTAATCATCCTCTCATATGTCTGATTAACAGAAAGAAAGAAAAAATAAAATTACGGGATGAAAACGTATGTCTTATTGTTGTGATTGATAAGATGAGTTATTCATTCATATAGTATACTTACCGAAGTTTGAAGATCCAATACAAGCTTCACTAGTTGAACTGGAAAAATGCTCGAATGTTTCTGAGGTTCGTAAATGAAGGACTTGCAAAACAAACCGTCAAGAGTTAACTTAGATAGTTTCGGAGTTCGCGCTACCAACAAACTGATTTCACATCCTTAGTACGTAAGCGAGGCAAGATGTATGGCATAAGATCTCACTAGACTTTGCATGTTAGAGCACTCGGATATTTCCAATACGTTCAAGCTTTGTGGATAAACAATTTTAAGATTCTTGGTAGCGTTAGAGGCCCTTATGCATAACTCTTTGATATAAGAACACGAGGTTAGAAATTTGCGAACAACCTCATACTCAATATCAACATCAACCAATCTGAGTGATTTTAGTGAGCCAAAAGCACCAAAGGGTGTTAGGCAGTGGCCACTAGAATCAAACTTATATTGAATTTTATACGAAATTGCAATAACAAGGTCTCAAGGCTAGGAAATAAGTAGCCACAATGAAAGCCATCATTAGAAAAACGAAGAACTAGTCTATTAAAGAGGTTATCCAACTTCAGGTCATGATTAAGCAAGGCTTCAAACTGGTGCCTTACAAATATACTTCCAAAGGTAATATCGCTATCACGAAACTTCAATGACTTTGAAGAGAAAGTCCACAAATATTTGCATCTAGAAGAGAGACGACTTGTCCTATAAGCATATTCGATGCTCATACGAGACAGAATGCCAATTAAAATATCGTCTGGCAACTCATCAATCCGACACCCATTAGTGGCATTCTGTTTCGCAGCATGCAAATCATCGATTCCCTGCATCATTGTATATATTACAAACATGCAAGATTTATTAAACTATATGAATATGACCACAACCGGGAATATGAAAAATCCCCATTGTCGAATTTTGGTTTCCTTGGATTTGGTGAAGTTGGATCCGCCTCATGCTGGTCCATATCCATCTCTTCACAAGTCTAGGTGAATTGATGTGGCGAACGATGATAGTTTTAAATCGTTCAGCTGCGGACAAAAAAATCAGCTATTCCTATAAACAAAAAATAAGAAAAAAAGTTTGTTGGAATTAATAGAGTGGTGCCAAGAGCCTTTCCTAAATTTCGACAACAGAAAGCTAAATTGATAAGAGTGTAGTAGCCCACAAGTTCAACATGTACTAAGGTACAATCAAGAAAGGGACATGCAAAAGTATATATAGGTGAGCTTCCATAAACCAAATAGAAAGAAGAACTCATGGAAGGTAAGAGTCTAAAAGTAACCAAAATGAGAATTTAAAATTTTCAAAACCTGCATCAATATGCTGGAAACACTATAATAAATTTATTCAGCAAATATTCATCTGGAATAGAATTTGATTGCACTATCAAAACAAAGCAAACCAAGCGACCTGAAAATTAATTAAAAAAATAATATATATGTTAAATTGCAGAAAATAATCACAGATACCAGTAACTAATTCCCCCTTCAAATATCACGTTTGCGGTGGAATTTGAAGAAGACGAAGAGCAAGAAGAAATTTGACGGCAGGAAGGGATTTAGCACCCTGGGTTTTAGGAAATTTAGTTTTGAATAAATTAATTAATTAAATAAATATGTATAGTATGAGTTACACGTGTATTTTTATATACCTTGTTCACATTTTTTTGTGGGCTTGTTAATATTTCAGTTATTGGACTGTAGATTGGCCTTTTTTCTAGCCCAACTTTATAATTCGACAATAAATATGATTAAACGCCTACAAACGAACGAGAATAAATAAAATAACAAACGTATCTATGAAAATCGAAAACTATTTTTAACGGTTTGGTTGGACTAGTTTAAAATTCATCTACTCCAACCAAATTATTAAATCAATTATCAATTGGAAGTTTATGGGTGATTTTATTTGTAGTTGCCATATGTCCACTTTTGATTGGATGTTTAGATACTTACATTTTTGATAACTCAATTTCCAGCAAGTATTCTTACATATAAAAAGTTGAATTATCAAAATAGAACCCTAATTTGATAACCCCATTGGAATTAAAATTTTCTATTTTTTAGTATATAAATAGTAGTTAATGGTTTGAATACCATGTTTGATAACCCATTAGAGTTGCTCTTAAAAACTTAAAAATTAGTGAAACCAACCCTCTTTAGATAAATTATTTATTGAATAATTATGAATTAATATTCTATGCTATATATTTGAGCATTTCAGTTGCATTTCACCAAAAAAATGTGAGCTATATAGTATACGATTTTCTCTGTTACTTTATTTGACTAATTAAAACTGGTGGAATTCATTTTGATTAAACTATCTCTCGACTAATTATTAATTTAAAATCTCTATATTTTATAGATTGTGTTTGCAAACGTTTATGCAACTTTTCAGAAATGTGACATCCCAACTTTATTTTGGTTAAACTTTAAAACACTTGCTGTGTTTTTTTGACATGGAATTAGGATATCTTTGATTTTCTACTATGACTCCAAGTCAGCCGACGAGTGAGCTTTGGGTCGAGATTCGTCTCAAACAAAACGAGTGTTTGCTTTATGAATTGTATATGAGGAAATTGATTTTGAAACTTAAGAGGATGGAACTGGAGTTGAAAGGCAAGTACGAGGAAAGTGACTTACTAGAAACTACGATCCGTGAGGGAAATGAAGTAATATGGTAAAGTAATCAGATAGTAGTTTGCAAAAAGTTGAGGCTTTCTTCCAAAGATTATCAGACAGTAATTTGGAAAATAATAAGCAGCATGTCACATACTTGTTCCATTAACGAAAATAATAAGCAGCATGTCACAGACTTGTTCCATTAACAACGAACCGTGCGTCGCAATAGCCAAGTCAGCCTCGCCGAAAGTGTTGTGAGTGCTAAGTGATGGAAAACGAACAAAGAACTTAAGATAAGAAAGCTTTGTAGCAAAATACTTATATTGCTTGAATGTCTTGGATTTGTTGCATGATTACAAATGAAGTCCATATTCTTATTTATACTAGGCCACCTTCTTAATGGACGGTGGAGATCTACTTAGGCCACCTCCTTAATGGACGGTGGAGATCTACTTAATCTAAGCGCTAGCAGTTCTTCACTAGTACACTCCAAATAATTCTTACAAAATATCTACAGGGAGGTTCTAGAAAGTTTTCTAGAATCCTGAAAGAATCTCTACCAAACTTTATATACATTTGGCCCTATTTAGACTTCTTAACGTTCCAACCCAAGAAAACGGATAAAGAGATTGGGCCAAAACTGGCGGGCCGTGACAAGCAGCCCAAACTATTATTAAATGAGAATGGGTTGTTGGCTAGTTTAGTGCCTAATGCGGCCCATCAAATTAAATATACAACATGCATTTAATTATGCACGTAACTGAAAATTCAAGAACGTGGCCCCAATTTTTACTTTACTTTTTTTTTTTTTCTGAAAAAAAAAGGGGATCCATCAAATAAACTGGAGAATATTCAGATATTTCTTGCATTATTATTTTGGTATTACGGGCCCTACCAGACAAAACAAAGTAAGATACAGAGAGAGATTTAATTTCCAAATTATGTTTTATTACGATTTTGTTTTATAAACATTATTCCAATATAATTTAATTTATTATATTAACAAATTGAGCTTATATAATATTTTTGAGCAACTATCACAAATTAAGTATAGAGTAACTTTATATATTCCCTACTAACAGAGGAGTATTGTATCGAGTAACCTACTTGATTTTAATTTAAAAAAGTTTTGAAGCCACAAATGGTAGAGTTGGTGAGTAGCTTTTTTTTTTTTAGCATAGCAGAGTTGGTGAGTAGCTTTGAATGTATTTACATCATATACCAGTCCACATTCATGCAAGATTTCCACTTTACTACCGGGGGCTCGTTTTACTAACGAATATTAATAATATACCTCATTTAAATAAATAAATAAAGTGCTAAAAACACATAATCATTTTTTTGATGCTAGTTAGTTCATTTTGGGCCACGTAACTTAAGTATTGGGCT